GAAAGAGAGAGAGAAAGAGAGAGAGCGTGAGAGAGAGAGAGAGAGAAAGAGAGAGAGAGTGAGAGACAGAGAAAGAAAAAGACAGAAGGGGGTGGAGTGAAAGAAAAATATAACTTTACTCTAACTCTACTAAGTCTAAAGTCTGGCAAAGACCCAAACCTTGACCCTGACCCCTAACCTCTGGCAAAGGCCTGACCCTAACCTCTAACCCTGACCCGTGATCTCTGGCCTGACCCTGACCCCTAACCTTTGGCTTGACCCTGACCCTGACCCTAACCCCTAATCTCTGACCTTGAACTGACCCTAATCCATAACTTCTAACATGACCCTGACCTCTAACCTCTGGTTTGATCCTGACCTTGACCCTGACCTTGACCCTGACCCTGACCCTGACCTTGACCCCTCACCTCTGGCCAGGTCTTTCTCCAGCAGGTTCCGGACGATGTTGTCGTAGTCTGTGTCCGTAGCCACGCCCGAGTCCTTGAGCAGCTTCTCCCTCAGGGCCAGGCAGATGCCGTTCTCCCGCAGCAGCTTGTCCACCTCGTTGAAACCCTGTGGGCAGACACCTCTCATCTTACTGACTACACCAACATCACTGACCACAATAACATCACTTACCACAGCAACAGCAACCTCTCACCCCACTGACTACAATAACATCACTGACTACACCAACAGCACTGACTACACCAACATCACTGACCACAGCAACAGCAAATTATCACCTAACTGACCACAGCAACATCACTGACCACAGCAACATCACTGACCACAGCAACAGCAAACATCACTGACCACAGCAACATCACTGACCACAGCAACAACAAACTCTCATGTCTCTGACGACAGCAACAGCAAACTTTCATGTCACTGACCACAGCAACAGCAAACTTTCATGTCTCTGACGACAGCAACAGCAAACTTTCACCTCACTGACCACAACAACAGCACTGACTACAGCAACATCACTGACCACAGCAACATCACTGACCACAATAACATCACTGACCACAATAACATCACTGACCACAGCAACAGCAAACATCACTGACCACAATAACATCACTGACCACAGCAACAGCAAACATCACTGACCACAATAACATCACTGACCACAGCAACAGCAAACA